AACTCACTGAAAATGTCGAGACAGTGTGTGACTGCAATAAAGAAGGCCAATGCTATGCTGGGGATTATTAGGAAGGGTATTGAAAACAGATCAGCCAATATCATAATGCCCCTATATAAATCAATGGTGAGACCTCATTTGGAATACTGTGTGCAGTTCTGGGCACCACACCTTAAAAAGGATATTATAGCTTTGGAAAAAGTGCAGAAAAGGGCAACTCGAATGATAAAAGGGTTGGAACACTTTCCCTATGAGGAAAGGTTAAGGCGCTTAGGGCTCTTTAGCTTGGAGAAAAGACGACTGAGGGGTGACATGATCGAGGTTTATAAGATTATGCATGGGAAAGAGCAGGTAGAGAAAGAGGTACTTTTCTCCCTTTCTCACAATACAAGAACTCGTGGGCACTCCATGAAATTGCTGAGCGGTCGGGTTAGAACGGATAAAAGGAAGTACTTCTTCACCCAAAGAGTGATTAACACTTGGAATTCACTGCCACAGGAAGTGGTGGCAGCTACAAGCATGGACGGCTTCAAAAGGGAATTAGATAAGCATATGGAGCAGAGGTCCATCAGTGGCTATTAGCCACAAGGTATAGATAGGGACTCTGGGGCAAGTGATGCTCTGTCATCTTGGTGCTTGGGGGGGGTCAACAGTGGGAGGGCTTCTAATGTCCTGGCCCCACTGGTGGACCTCCTGATGGCACTGGTATTTCTGGCCACTGTGGGATACAGAGTGTTGGACTGGATGGGCCTTTGGCCTGATCCATCATTGGCATCTCTTATGTTCTTATGTTCTTACTGTTTCCTATATATTCAACTTTCAGCTTTCTCTCTCTGTCTCACTGAACCACCGCAGCTGTCAGTTTATAACTGCTTCAACACAGAACTGCTTGTCTAACTACTCATTGAACATCAACTGTCAACATCTAACTGAAACTACTGACTGACTCACATACTCACCCAACCAGATTCACTTCCAAAGCCCCTCCCCCTCTCTGTCAACCACCAATCATACCACACTTGCCTCTCTCAACCACTCTAGTCTATCTACCACAGCCATGCAACCAAACTTTTAAAGAGACACACAGAGAGAGAAACAAGGAATCATTACAATGTCGTTTCTAAATTTCTCTGTCCCTCTGCACTTAAGATTTTTAGGAGGGCCACAGAACAAAGACCTTTGGTAATAAACCATCTCAAAGCAATTATACAAGAATAAAAATTTTACACAGTTCTTAATAATTAAAAAAAAATCCCAATGTGATTAATTTTGGATGTGTTTGAGCTGAATAACTTGCTCTTCCATCTCAAAGCAATTATACAAGAATATTTTTTCACAGTTTTTAATAATTAAAAAAATCCAAACATGATTAATTTTGAATGTGTTTGAGCTGAATAACCTGCTTTTCTTATTTTCCCAGAATAATAATCTGCAATTAAGTACTACTATAATTACTCCCTTGATTGAAAATGAACATTTTAAAAATGGAAAACTAAAATTTATGTCACTACTAAAAGGAAAATTGGGTAATTAAATTAAATTACTTAGTTTTAGCAGTTGTCTGTGGGATGGCTGTAATATAGTCAAACATAATTAGTGCTAGACAGAATAACCACTTTTTCTAGAGCTTTTGTTACATGGAGTTTTTCAATACATATAATATAGAAATCCATTTCTTTTACCTAAAGTGGAATGACAAATGGACTTCCTTAGTCTTCCCTCACCAATTTTTTTTGGGAGTGATCATATTATTTCATCTTAAGCATTTCAAGGAGGAAGCCTCCTCAGGTCAGAGAGAGACTTCAAATTTTGACCAGTAGAGTAGCCAGATAGGAGTATGAGCCACTTTAATGGAATTATCCCTATTTGAACAGTTTCAGTGATTTATCAGCAATCATATTAAAGATCTATTCAGATGCTTAAGTGGAAGTAATCATCCTGACAGAAAAAAACATAGAATGGTATAGTCAGACTTAGGACTGAACTAGATGATACCAGGGATGTGTATCTGCTGCATAAAGCACCAAATCTGTATCTTTTCCTTCTTGTCTCCTGGGTAGCCAGTAAAAGAACAAAACATGGGACACAAATGTCATTGTGCTCCAAATCCTCCCTTACTCCTGCAAAAATTGAATGAATTACAGCAGTAATTGGATAATTCAGAACTTGGTGACATCATAAGAACATCTATGTATATAAAAGAAAGTCCCCTCACGGTAAAATCAACGCGCAGGCCAAACCGCTGGACCTAGAGACATCAAATTCAGAGAGAGCACTCCCACCATGGCGTAGGTGCTCGTTAAGAAGGGATTTTTAGAAATTTGACCCCTAAGTGGGTCAAAAGGGGGGAAACGTGCTCCCGCCATTGATTCCTATGTGGCTGCCAGGCAGTTCTCTCCCTTCACCCCCCACTCTCTGATTGGTCAGCTGCAGAGCTCAGAGTTCTGAGGTAAAAAAAAAACCAACAGTTACAGGGGACTGCAGACAGCTAATGACAGTTGAGGAAATCGGGAGTGGCCAAGAACCACCTGTGAGGTTCAGTAATGCTGCTGGCCCACCCTCTCCGATGGCTTCCAATACACTCCCCCCACCTCCTACAACTAACAGGCGGTTGTCTGTCGGGTGCATCCCCACCTCCACAGTGGCTTCTAATACTCCTCCTCCCTCCCCCTCCTACATTTGACAGGCAAATGCCTGTCAGGTGTCGGAGAGGAGGTGGGATGGCTTCCAACACCCCCCCACCTCCTACACCTAACAGGCGGTTGTCTGTCAGGTGCAGCCCCACCTCCACAGTGGCTTCTAATACTCCTCCCCCTCCTACACAGGACAGGGAGCCTGCCCCAGCCGTAACATCTTAGTGATCCTGCCAGCCCTGCCTCCACAATGTCTTCTAATACTCCTCCCCCTCCTACACTGGACAGGCAGCTGCCTGTCAGGTGTAGGAGAGGAGGTGGGATGCTTGCAGCCACCGGGGAGGTTTGCTCAGCAGGTCTGCCTTACCACTGCTGCTGGCCCAGCCTCCCCGATGCCTTTAAATACAATTCCTCCCAACACCAGACAGGCCAGTGTCTGTCAGGTGTAGGAGCAGGGCCTGGGTATGAATGTTTATGGGGAGATAGTCAAGGATATTTCTAGGAGCCATTTCGATGCATGCCTCTCTCATGAACCTTTGTTTTCCCCTCAAATGGCGTGGCCCCGCCCCCAGCGTGCGACGGGAGTGGGAATCGGGCCTTGAAAGCGGGGGGAAATCCGCCCGCCGGGGGGATTTGGGAACCCTATACCATCAGGAGGTCCAGCAATGGGGCCAGGACACTAGAAGCCCTCTCTAATTTCTCTTCACATTAGTAAGAAAAAAGGAGAGAGAGAACTGGCTCAGGTCAGACCATATTTTGATTCATGAGGACTGGTTCACTAACTATGACTAATTAAGATATGCCAAATAAAGAAACCATGGTTTGAAGATGGTTTATTAAATCCCAGTTGATCTTAATTAGAGATGGGCAAAAAACAGGAAAATGGAGGTTCATGAAAGTTCATGGGAGGAGGAGGCGGAGGAGGAGGAGGAGGCGGAGGAGGAGGAGGAGGAGGAGGAGATTGGATTTATACCCTGCCCTTCACTACCCAAAGGTGTCTCAGAGCGGCTTACAAACTCCTTTCCCTTCCCCTCCCCACAACAGACACCCTGTGAGGTGCATGGGGCTGAGAGAGCTCTGACACAAACTGCTCTTTTTCAAGGACAGCTGTGCCAGGAGCTTGTGACTGACCCAAGGTCACATCAGCAGGTGCAAGTGGAGGAGTGGGGAATCAAACCCAGTTCTCCCAGATTAGAGTCCACACACTTAACCACTACACCATGGGGTCTCATGAACCACAAACCTCCATGAACCTTCCCGTTTAATGAACTGGTTCATAGTTCATGATGCAGCGCGGCTTCCAGGTCACCACTTCCAGGTGACCTCACCACTTGGACATCGTTCTTGCACTTTAGCAAGCTGCTTTTGCAAGCCGCCACCACCACCACCATGGCTTTTGCAAATGCCTTCAGAATTCACTTGCTGAGTCATGCTGCTGCAGTGGCACAGCCTAAAGAAGGCATTTAAAGAGTGTGTCTGCCGACATGAAGCACATGAACCTCCTAAAGCCACGTGGGAGGGTTGTGGGATGTTCATGGCGACGTTCATGGCAGCAGTGGGATGCCATGAACCTCGGTTCCTGAACCACAAACCGGGCCGAGTTCATCATGAATATAGGTTCATGAACCAGTTCATGCCCATCCCTAGCCTCAGATCATGGTAGCTACAAGGACACCACCTCCATTTTGATGTGATTTAAAAATGCCATGATGGCACAATCCTGATCAGATCCACAGTGCGGTGCTGTTGTCCTCCCCCAACCTAATTTTCAAGTGCTGAAACAGCTATCATTTTGGTCATTTTGGCACAGGGGGGGAGAGAATAAGGCTCGGGGGGGGAGAATGCCTCAGCTTGGCATTCTGCAGTCCTGATTGGGCCTCCGCAGTGTTTTTAAATCACTTTAAAATGGTGGTGGCATCCCCATGGTGGCCATGAGGACATCATCATGACTAGTTTGGCTCTCAGTGCAGGCTGAGACTGCAGTCTCTCTGTGGGGGGGTGGGTGAAAAATGCTGTCAAGTCACAGCTGATTTATGGTGACCCTGTGGGGTTTTCAAGGCAAGAGCCCTTCAGAGGTGGTTTGCCATTGCCTGCCTCCACATCACACCCCTGGTATTCCTTGGAGGTCTCCCATCCAAATACTAGCGAAGGCTGACCCTGCTTAGCTTCTGAGATGTCATAACATCAAGTTAGCCAATATGTAAAGTCATGGTTTCACACTATGTCTGAGCCAAGCTATTTGGTTGCTGCTTTCAACTGCAGCCACACAACCTCTATAACTATCTCATTCCATTCTTGTTTCAGTTCAGACTGGGTAGACAGGTTTGGAGGGAATGCCCCGGTTCACCAAAGATCTTTTTTCCTTACCTTTACCACTCCATTTTCATGCATAGTGATGCAATTGTTGGGATCCTCCGAGAGCTGATAGAGGGCTTGTGCAGTAGCTCGATGAACTGCTGGGTCACTTGATTTCAGGTAACGTACTAAAGGGGCAACAGCTTTGGTGACTCCAAAGGCAACTCTGTTATTTCCCCACATACAACAGCGAGAAATGGCATCTGCCAAATGACATCTTAATTTGTCATTATTCTGAGTAAAGAGGAAAAACATGTCCATTATATTCCACCCATCTTAAATTAGCCTGGAAAGTCATTTAAACAGAAGCCAAAGACATACTGCTGTAAAAGAAAATAGGGGGGAAATGCAACAGGTATTTCCAACTGGGATTCTTAGCATCAGAGAAACCAATTCTATAGACTAGATTCCAAACAGGGTAATTGTCTGTACGCAGAAACCATTTGGGATCATAGTCACAAGGGTGGCTGAAGACCCTGTGCCTCCCCAGGCATATTCCTCAAGTGCAACCCTGCTGGGTATTAGGTAGGCTGCAGAAGCTTCATTAAGCCAGGAGTGTTTTGCACTTGAGCAGAGGGCACAGTGTAGGGGATGCTGACTACTGATGTGCAAAACATTTTTTGGTATTTTTCCAATTTGGGTCCATTGGACCTGAAATATATTGGTATTCCTGAATATTCCCATATCCCAATATCAGTATTGTATTGGGATTTGGGTAAATATTCAGGAAACCCGAATTTATTCGGCTCCATTGTACCCTATGGGAGCTGTCGCCATAGGGTATAATGGAGTTCAGAAGTTCACTTGCTGAGTCATGCCGCTGCCATGGTGTGACTCGACTCAGCAAGTGAACTCAGAAGGCATTTAAACTTTAAATGCCTTCTGGGTTCACTCACCGAGTTGTGCTGTGGCAGTAGCATGACTCAACAAGTTCAGAAGGCATTTGAGCCTGTTCTGAACCTCACTGAACAGCAGGGCAGGCAAGCCATTTAAACCTAACAGCAAAGTCACACATGTGGCTTAGCTTTTCAAACACCACTTAAAGGGAACTTTCCCTTTAAATGGCTTTTGCAAAGCCAAGCTATGCATGAGGAACCTGGAAATGGCGAGAGTTCACCCAGAAGGTGGGTGAACTCGCGCTGCTTTGGTGAGTGAAGCTGAGTCCAAATAAAAGCTGAATAATATCGGCTTTTAATCCAGGCTCAGTTAGATTGGTAGCCAAATCAGATTACAGAATCTGATTCTACTGAATAAATACCCCCAAAATACTGAAAAATACCCGAAAAATACCAAACATACACCTCTAGTGCTGACCCATCTGCCACCCTTGCAGATTTGACACCACAAGCAGTCCCTTGCCTAGCTTGGGTGTCAAATTGGCCCTACACAGCCATAGGCCTTCTCTAGCAATGTATCTATCCAGTTTCTTACCTTAAGGCAATTGTTTAACTGATCTGTCCCCCGGATAATGAAAAGCTGAATGCCTTTTTAGAGCAAGAATAATAATAAAAATTAAGCTATGTAGGATTCAGACTAGTTTAGCTTCAAGAAAATATATGCAAATAGTTTTTTGAACTGATTTCTGAAGCAGAATAGTGTGTTGGGGGCCATGAGGGTGTAGTAATGGTTAATGTGCCAGATTAGAACTAGGAGACCCAGGTTCAAATGTGCACACAGCTTAAACGTTCACTGGGTGATCTTAAACCAATCACTCTGTGACTGATTCTCCTCACAAGGGTGTTGTGAGGATAAAATTAGGAGGAGAGAATCTGAGCCACTCAAAGGAGGTGTGGGATAACAAATGTGATAGATACCAAATTGATTAAAGCCAGAATGCACCAGACTGAAGACTGTAATAAAAGTCAGTTGATGCACTTGGGCCCCTGCCACACGGCAGGGAAAACACCCGGCAAAGCGCGGCTAAATAGAGCCGCACCAAAAAAGAGACGCGCGGGCGGGATCCCATGGATCCCGTGCACCGCGCGCCGTTGCTCCCCAGCACGATCAGATGTCGGGGAGGTAGGGACGCTCGGGAGGGGGAGGCTGCTGAACTGTGCATGCGTTCGGCTGGGGATGCGCCGGCGGCAAGACGTGCCGCCGATCCCACGGCCAGTGATGATATGAACCAAACGGATGAACCACCTAGGTAGGTGGTTCAGTTTTGAAGCGATTCATCGGGGGAAGGGCCGGATCGGAGACCGGAGCGCAACGCCAGCCAGATCGCGCCCGTTTGCTGCGCTTCCAATCCAGCCCACTCCCGGCCCAAAACGCCTCATATGAACAGGGCCTTGAAGAGAAGATGTATCCCTATTCCCTACCCAATGTATTTCCCTACGTACCCAACAATCCTACAATAGCCAACAATCGTTTAAAGAGTATAGTCTACTTTCCTGTCACCTGTTGCATAGTAAAATCTACAGCAAAGGCTTTCCCCCCTTCACTTATTGTCTTTTCAAGGTTTCCCTACCCCTACCAAGAGCAACTTCAGCAACTCAGGGAAGCTTTACTGAGATTCCTGCAAACTGGTAGCTCTGAAAGCATATTACAAAAAGGAGTTAACTTACTGTGTTTGCTAGTTTCGACAACAAAGGAACAACGCCATGATCTGTTATAACGGCTAAGTTTTCTTCATCTTTTGCTATGTTGGTGATAGCAGCGCATACACTGGCTAGAACTTCTTTATTATCTGATTTTAATAAATTGACTATCAACTCCAAACCACCGACAAATGAACGGACCATTTCACCAGCATCCTAAATAAAAACAAAACGGCTAAGTTTTAATAAGCAATCCAAGCTCTATGTTGTAAAGAAAACATTTCAAAGTTACAGTGTATACACAATTTGTATCTTTTTTTAGTGCTACAGCTAATTACTCCTCTTATTTTTCAATCATTACTAGATTCCTATTCACTGAGAACCTTTGGGCTGCATATGATTTGTGGACCAGGTGATTGTATCAGTATCCTACAACATAAATAATTGACTGACAGGAGTTTAGGACTGCTTTCACTTCTCAAAGCTGCATTCTCTTATTGATCTGAAGTCCTGCAAAGTAAAGTCTGTTAAGAAAAGACATCATTTTAATTAATAATTATACCCTTATAGATAAAAGCCTCCCAATAAAAATTAGTAGTATTTTCCATTTAGAACATCTTAGAAAGTTTAAGATGTCAAAGCCAATTTATCAACTCTGGTTGCTTTTGCCCAAAAATGTGATGGTGCTGCTGTGCAAATAAACTTGAGTTACCAAGAGTCCTCTGTGGACTATGTTTCCTTCAGCAGAACTGTCCTTTTCCAGTTCCCTGACCTGCCATTTTAAATCACAACCCAACAAACAAAATCCATTTTTAGGAAGGCAGGAAGGAGCAGAATGTTCAATTCGCCTCTTTACTCATTTCATAAAGTATCATTATATGAGAAAGGAAAACTAATAGCATAACGCAGGATATGAGCCAACCTGGTAACTGGCTACATAATGTATACCACGGATGGCCAACTTCTATTTGCCTGGGGACCACACCATTCTGCAGACAGTAGTCTGGAGTGGGGGGAATCAAAAGCATGTTTTGCCACATAAAGTGGTCCAATCATAATAATCGGTCTCCATAACTAAGTCAGCATAGTCTATCAGTAAAGATTTCACAGTTATGTTACACATGAACTGATGCACAGTATTTCAAACAAATACATGGTGGTGGTAGAAAGTACCATCAAGTCACAGCTGACTCATGGCAACCCTATAAGGTTTTCAAGGCAACAAACACTAAGAGGTGGTTTGCCATTGCCTGCCTCTGCGTCATGACCTTGATATTCCTTGGAGGTTGCCCATACAAATACTAGCCAGGGTCAACCCTGCTTAGCTTCTGAAATCCGACAAGATCAGGTTAGCCTGGACAACAAACACATATCAACCATAAAGATATCTAATTCTCAACATAGGCAAATATGTGCATACTTGAATCCAGAGACTGAAGCCATTAACAAACAAGGAGAAAATCCCCAGGTTGGTAGAAAACCCCGAAATCTAAACAAATAAAAAACAAAGAAGAAACTCTTTGGGGGCGGTAACCTCCAAATAAGAGACGCAGCACGTGTAGCTTTAATAAACAAATGCTCCCTGTGGCCATTGCTAGATAACCACAATGGTACTTACCAGTTGAACCTGTTATTAAGGAAAGAATTAGTAAGCACATTGATGAACAAAAACTATTGAGGCAGACTCAGCATGGGTTCTGTAAGGGAACCTGTTAGTGTTCTTTGAGGGGGTGAACAAACATGTGGACAAGGAGGACCCAATAGATATTGTTTACCTTGACTTCCAGAAAGCTTTCAATAAAGTTCCTCATCAAAGGCTCCTAAGTAAGCTCAAAAATCACGGGATAAAAGGACAAGTCCTTTTGTGGATCAAAAACTGGCTAATAGGAAACAGAGAGTGAGTATAAATGGGCAATTTTCTCAGTGAAAGGTGGTAAGCAGTGGGGTACCGCAGGGATCAGTACTCAATCCGATGCTTTTTAACTTGTTCATCTATGATTTGGAGTTGGGAGTAAGCAGTGAAGTGGCTAAATTTGTGGATGATATGAAGTTGGTTCCCTCTAAGCTGAGTTAGTGTGAGCTAGCTCAGAGTTTTTTAGCCTCTGGCTCACATATTTTTGTCTGTGCTCAGGAAGGATGGCTCCAGAGAAAACTAATTTATGCAGTAGCCAAATCGCTCTCACAACTTTAATGCCAGCAGCTCACAAAGTAGAATTTTTGCTCAGAAGACTCCACAGTTTAGAGGGAACATTGGTTCAGGGTGGTGAAAACCAGTGAGGATTGTGAGGCACTCCAAAGGGATCTGTCAAGGATGGGCAAGTGGGCATCAACGTGGCAAATGGGGTTCAATGTGGCCAAATGCAAGGTGATGCACACTGGAGCCAAAAATCCTAACTTTAAATAACTATAACTATAAATACACATTGATGGGGTCCGAACTGGCAGAGGCTGACCAAGAGAGAGATCTTGGAGTCGTAGTAGATAACTCAATGAAAATGTTGAGACAGTGTGCGAATGCAATAAAAAAGGCCAATGCTATGCTGGGGATTATTAGGAAGGGAATTGAAAACAGATCAGCCAATATCATAATGCCCCTATATAAATCAATAGTGCGACCTCATTTGGAATACTGTGTACAGTTCTGGTCACCACACCTTAAAAAGGATATTATAGCATTGGAAAAAGTGCAGAAAAGGGCAACTAGAATGATAAAAGGGTTGGAACACTTTCCCTATGAAGAAAGGTTAAAGCGATTGGGACTTTTTAGCCTGAAGAAATGACGGCTGAGGGGGGACACGATCGAGGTTTATAAGATTATGCATGGGATAGAGCAGGTAGAGAAAGAGGTACTTTTCTCCCTTTCTCACAATACAAGAACTCGTGGGCACTCCATGAAATTGCTGAGCGGTCGGGTTAGAATGGATAAAAGGAAGTACTTCTTCACCCAAAGAGTGATTAACACTTGGAATTCACTGCCACAGGAAGAGGAGGCAGTGGCAACAAGCATGGACGGCTTCAAAAGGGAATTAGATAAATATATGGAGCAGAGGTCCATCAGTGGCTATTAGCCACAAGGTATGGATTGGGACTCTGGGGCAGGTGATGTTCTGTATTCTTGGTGCTTGGGGGGTTCAACAGTGGGAGGGCTTCTAGTGTCCTGGCCCCACTGGTGGACCTCCTGATGGCACCTGGTATTTTTGGCCACTGTGTGACAGAGTGTTGGACTGGATGGGCCTTTGGCTGATCCAACATTGGCTTCTCTTATGTTCTTATGTAATCTTTGGTTTACGGCAGTAAAAAGCAGGGTGAGGGCCCTTCCCAGGGAGATTCTGGCATTTGAGGGAGGACTCATTGGGGCCAGGCCTGGCAGCAACCACAGGGTGACTTGCTACCATGTGACTTGTATGGCTCACCCAGGTCTGGCTGCTTGTTACTGTTTAACAGCAGCCGTCACATGAAAGCCGGTGTGGTATTGTGGTTAGAGTTTCAAACTAGGATCTGTAGACCAAGGTTCAAATCTCCACTTTGCTGTTGAAGCTAACTGGGAGACCCTGGGCCAGTCACATACTCGCAGCCTAACTTACCTCACAGAGTTGCTATAAGGATACAGTGGAGGAGAGGAGAATGATGTAATCATTCTCAGAAATACTTAAGGAGAAGGAAGTTCAAGAGGGGTAGGAGTTTCTTAAAAGTGAAATATTGCACAATCACAAACAATTCCTACGTGGCTTCCAAATGGAGATTTTTCTGTACCTGGACAGCAGATACATATGGAGTTGAAATTTATCAAAGACAGCCAGTATTTGGCGTGAGGAGCCCTGTGCCCCCCTGGGATTTGGCCCATCTTCCACCACCTTCCTGCCAGCAACTTCAGTTTTCCCGTGGTCTCAGAGGTGAGCATGGAGGGGGATTAAACCACCCTGTCTCCCTCTCCTTCCCTCAGGTTGGCTCCTCGTTGCTCTCTCTCTCTCTGCACCTCTGCCCAACCTATGCCGCCCCCCTGGCGACCTGTGGGAGTGCCTTTTTATATAGAGTGCTTCCATTTCCCTGCCCCTTCCCAAAGGCATAAGAGGTAATACCAACCCAACTTCCCTGTTCCTACCCAGTTGATTTCCTTCCACCACCCACTCTCTCCACTTCTGATCCCTCCAGTGACCATCCAGTTCTCCCCTTCCCTCTCCTAGTGTGGCCCAGTTGCCTGCTCTGGGCTGCCCCCCCAACCCTCTTGCAATCCTCCAAACCCACCAGTTGTGTTCTACCCACTGCAACAGCTTTCCAAGGAGGCATCACCAGGGTTGGCATCTGTGGGGCTTTCCTGGCCCCTTGCTCTGCACCAACCTCCCAATGAGGTCATCAGCTTCTGTGGCAAACCCTCCCAAGCCATGAACACCACTGGCACATCTCAGAGGTGCTTCCTCGCCACATCACGCTTCCTCTGCCTCGCCCTCCTCTCCTCCAGACTCCCATCCATCAAAACAGGGTGAGTGTGGCCAGTGGCTAGCTAGGGCTTAATCGCTTCAGGCTGGGGTGAGTCAAGAGGGGAGGGGGACACCTCCCAACAGCAAGGATACTCACTGCCTATCCAACCTCCGCAGCATCCCAAGAGTCACTGATACAAAGGCCCCTTTTCCCCTCAATTCTTCACTAATACGGGGCAATACTGTGTAATACCAGATCAGTGAGTCATAAAACTGCTCACATAGAGGGCCAGAAGATGCCTAGAAAGATACTGGTGGAAAACACATACTGACTCTGACAGAATGAGCTACAGAGTCCATTGGAAGATCTATGACAGAGGTGTCAAACACATTTGTTATGAGGGCCGGATCTGACATAAAGTTCACTTTGTTGGGCTGAGCCATGCATGCCATAAAAAGCAACACAAGGTACCGAATGGTAACAGCAGATAAATGACAATAGCAGACTTGATTCGATTAGGTATGATATGCAGAGAGGTGCTAATGCTAGTATTTATAAACTGCTGGTGGTGGTGAACCTGCTTATGAAAAGTTCTGCACTGCCCCAAAACTAGGGTTGCCAACCTCCAGGTGATGGCTGGAGATCTTCTGGGATTACAACTAATCTCCAGGTGACAGAGATCAGTTCACTTAGAGAAAATGGCCACTTTGGAAGGTGGACTGTATGCATTTACCGGCTGGGATTGAATTACATTCAGTCTGTAATTGAATGAGCACCACTGTTTTAATAATGTTGGA